GGTGGATGGGTGGATGGATGAATCGATGAATGGATGGTTAGAGGATGGATGAATGGATAGATGGATGAATGGATGGATGGATGGATGAATGGATGGATGGATGGATGGGTGGATGGATGGATGGATGGATGGGTGGATGGATGGATGGATGAACGAAGGCTAACTTGACCCTCAGCACCCTCCATGCAAGCTGGCAGTTCCAGCTGCTCATCTCTGGTCACCATCCCAGCTGCCCACTGGGCACCTGCACCTGCTGCCTCACCACCTACAGACAGCCCAGCAGGCTCCAGCTCCATGCCCCATCCCCACCCCAAGCCACACAGCAGACTAGCTGCAGGTGACCATCATCCCCAGCTGGGGAAGCCCTGCGGGGAGTGGGAGAAGACATTCCCAGGGTGGCCTCCCAGAGTAGGAAGGCTCGAAGTGGGTCCCAAAGCTGCAGGAATAGGCCAGGGTCTCTCCCCACCAGCACACGAATGTATGTTGGTGTCTCCCATCTTTTCAAAAGCCCCTCCTGAGAGTCATGCCTCCTCCAGGTCGGCCTGGTTTCTCTGAGCCCCTTCGTGGTGCACATCTGGGAAGGATGCTTCATTCTTCCCTGCCGTGCTTCCTGCCTCCCCCTGGCTATTTGTCTGCACCTGCTCTGGCACGGACTCCTAAATAACAGTGTCCCTCGGCCAAAACCCCCATCCCTTCTCCCAATCCTGGCCATATTGTACCACCTGGATGCCGACGCCCTGGAGTTACACATGCAGCGTGGCCCCCTCGGGGTTCCTGCACCAAACACCCAGCTCGGTCAGCACCTGGCATGGGTCCTCAATTTCACCTCCACCTCAATTTAAACTATTATCATCAGTGCGAATAACCGTAGCCTTTTTGGACTCACTTGGGGATCCCCACCTGTTCGTGGTTTAACCTGCACAACAGTTGCTGCCTTCTCCCCTCTTCTTGCCCTGCATCGAATTAATCCCTAAGTCTCAAGTGCTTGTCTCCATGGGTGCCTTGATCCCGCCTCTCCCCACCGCCTTCCGCCGTGCAGATCCCGGCTCTCTGGTGACCAACTCCGCAGCACTTTCAAAACACAGCCACTTCTTACTAGAACACCCAGCACCTGTCACTCCCCTGACCCACCTGGACCAGAGCTATGTACCTGCTTATTGGTGTCACCTGGGTTGACCGTGCAGTTACAGGGACAGTCCAGGTCCCTCCTGTGGGCCCATATAAGTGTTGATCATGCCTCTACGCTCTCGGAAGGGTCCCGGTTTACACACTAAGCTATACAGGCATCTTCTTACATGCTGTGCCTGGCACGCATCTGGCTGTGTTCTCTACTGAGTCTCCCGAGAGCAAAGGCTGAGACCTTTCTGCACGCGCACCCAGCAGGGTGAACACACGTAAAGGAACATTCACTCCATCGAAGGGCGGACGGCCCGCTCTGAGACCAGGTACGCTGGAAGGAACTGACTCTCCCCTGGGCATAAACCAGCCTTTTCCTCCGTGCACGACCAGAGGGGCTCTGTGGCCTATGGGCCCTCTAGGCTGGAAAGGTTCCTTAGGCCATGCCTCCCCCAGCTGGGAGGGCCGGGAGGCTCACCCCCATTCATGCAGCTCAGCTTCTGGGGTGATGAGGTCAGCGGCTAGGGGTGACAGGTGCACTGCCGCAAGCCCTCCACGTTCAAACACTGCTCCTCCCTGGAGGAGGCATCGACTTCATCCAAGAAGCACCCACTGACATCTATTGACAAGCAGAACAGGGGGGACACTCGTCACAGCCATGACCACCCGGTCACTCACGTTAACCTCCAGATGGGAGTCCCACGGGGAGGGGTCCCGGGGTCACTTCTGGAGCCCTGTCCTAGAGAGCCCCGGGGCCCACCAGGCGCCTTCATCCAAGCAGGTGGCCCGTGTGTCAGGTATGTGGCAAGTTCCCCTCGCAGGGCCACCTGTGCCCAGGTGGTTGCTGCTGCCTGAGAGAAGCGCTTTGGGGCTGTGTCGTCTGAAGGGTCATGAGTGATGGGGTCCCAGCCTCCTTCCCAAGGACAAACTTCGTACACGAGCAGTTTTCTGGACCAGAAAGGAGCCACTGCTTCTGGCATTCAGAAGGCACCTGCCACTCTCCCGTCGGCCAGTCTCATGGAACAGCGGCCCAGACGAGGATACCCACTCGATCCCGAAGCAGCCAGGACAAAGGGGGACAGAGCGAGGCCGCTTCACAGTCCACCCAAGCCACATGGGAAACACGGACCACCGAGTCACCTGCGGAACACCACCCCACTCCCTCGGCCAAATGAGTGACTATTCGCTCTTGACCAATCACGGCTTCTCTCGGTGTTGGCGTCCACCTCCCTCTAGACGAGATGTACGGAGAATGTCCAGCCTAGACCAAGCCCCCCTTCGTTAGTCTCTCCCCACACTGTCCTCTAGTGGACTCTCTCTGACCCCCTACGGGACGGCCCCGAGTTCCTTGCTCTGTGCCTTATCTCGCGGCCTGGAGTCGCAAACCCTGTATGCACACTACAGGTGCCTTCCATGGTCTGCGACCGAGGGCCCTGTCGGAGCGGACAACACAGGCTCTTCTCCTATTGGCACGGCTCGGCTCAGTCTTCAAGAACATCTGTGGATATCGAAGGGAGTAAAATGCAATCGCCAGAGTTTTCGGCGGCCTCCAGACCCTGGCGCACCCCCCTTAGGGCGACCCTCGGTGTCACAGAAGCTGCAACGGCAAGAGCAGCCATCGCCCCGCAGCTGGGGAGCAGCAGGGGCAGCTGCCTCCCATGGGCAGGAACGTTCCACGGGGCTCAGCCTTCCGCTCACATGCCATCCACGGCTGCTTTCGGGCCACGAGGGCAGAGCTGAGCCGTTGAGACGGAAGCCACGTGGCCCGCAGCCCAAAACATTTACTGTGTGGCCCTTCCCAGAAAATGTTTGCCGACCCCTGACACAGACCCCTCCCACACACAAGAAGAAATACAGACAGTTTCTTCCAGAAACAAGGCCACCTCTGTGTGCTTCACCAAGTTCGGTTTTGCACAGTTGTCCTGGACGGGCCTCCCAAAGCAAGAGGGATGGTGAGGGAGCTGAGAGCTGACGGAACAGGTTGGGGTTCATTTGTTCTGGGATTTGCTGACCGGCACTGGGGTGTTAGGACCCTGGTCGGTGTGGGGGAGACACGGTGGGGAGGGCAGAGCGAGGGCGAAACCCTCCTGGAACCCGCACTTTGGAGCTCGGAGTTTAAACCCGGTTTGGGCCAGGATGAGCTGAACGCAGGTCGGACCACCCCCCACCTGCTGGACTGTCATCCCTGCAGCCCCGCCCCCCGCCACGGCCACCAAGGAGAGGAAAGGCAGCACCTTGCACCCGGATGTCGATCACTTCATAGACACGCTGCACGATGCTGTGTAGCGTCGCGGAGATGTTGGCCACAGGCACGGGCCACGGCAGGCCCAGCAGCAGCTGCGACACCGTGGTCGAGGGGTCCCCACTGGCCGACTGCAGGTGGTGGACGGAGGGGTGCAGCGGCTGCAAGGCACTGGTGACCTGTGGAGCCAGAGTCAGAGCGTCACTCAGTGGACGGGCACCCCATCGGACAGACGGGGAGACCGAGGCCAGGAGGCGTGCAGACCAAATGCATACACACACACACACACACACACACACACACACACACCACGCTGCTGTGCAGAAAAGACCCTTTGCAACATTTCTACATCTGTCATCACGCCAGCAGACATCCTGCAAACCAGACCCTAAATACTTTTATGACACGGTTGTCATGGCTCGAGGCGTGTCCCGTTCAAAAACCCCAGTGTTGAAGTCCTAACCCCCAAACCTCGGAACGTGACCGTATCTGGAAATAGGGTCCTTGCCGATGTGATTACTGATGACGAGGTCGTTGGGGTGGCCCTTTGTCCAGTTCGACCGGTGTCCCGGACACAGAGATGGACTCTGCAGGCCCCGGAGGGAGGGGCCTGGGACAGACCCTTCCCTCACGGCGCTCGGCCGGAGCCCACCCTGCCCGCACCTCCGTGCCGGCCTCCCGGCCTCCAGAACGAGCGGGGGACGCGTGTGCTGCGTGGGCCCCGCCTGTGTCACAGCCGCCCCACGGGAAACATCGGCCCCAGGCCCCCCCAGCCCCACCCGTGCCCCGAATCAGGCGCGGAATCAGAGGGAGGGAACCCCCGGTCTCCTGTCGTGCGCGTCTGGGTCTCACTTTCTGCTTTGTTTTTGAGATGTCATGACCTCTTTCCTCAATTCGTACAAACTCGTCTTTCCCCGTCCTCGTGTCTCCAGACCCCAAGATGGCGTTGACCCAAGAGGCGGTTTGGGGGGCGCTAGAGCCCGGGTCCCCAGCAGACCGGAAACACCCCTCATGGGGGCAGGGACACAGCTTGTAACGTGGGAGGTGGAACAAGGTGCCAGCTCGAGCCTCGCGGGAGTCCCTGCATCAGGGAGCCCCGTGCTGGCCGCAGCCGGGAGCCCGCGGAGGCAGGTCCCCCCGCAGGTGGTCACAGTGTGCCTGGAGGGGCAGCACCCACTCATAAGAGAAAAGGGGTGACTCAGGACAACATTACTCCAAATGCCAACAACCACAGCTCACAACCTACGTCGTCAGCACCACCGTAAGCTCCTCACGCGTGCTTTTTAAACCTCAAACCCCCTGTCTCAGGTAGGATTATAATGATCCCTATTTAATGGAAGCATCTGAGGCACAGAGAGGTCAGGTAACTTGCCCAAGGTCACACAGCAATGAGTACCGGGTCGGGATTTGCCGGGAGGTCTGGTTTCTGAGCCACGCTTCGAACGGCCGACTGGCCAGCCCAGCCCGTCCACCGGCCACCAAGAGACAAAAATCACTTCCGGTTGGGACAGGCAAGGAGGCTTCCAGGTGAAGGCGATGGCTTGGAATACCTGCCTCACTGCTTTGCTGGAAGGCCCGGAGCAAGGGGCGTGTGGGTGCCGTCTGTCTTGGGGCCGCCCCCTGGCAGCTGGTCCCAACATCGAAGAGGGACTCAACTCTGACACTGACCGCGTGACTCCCAGTAGCAGGAGGGGCGCAGCCTAGGCCCCCAGGTGGACGTCTCCGTAGCAGCCACGGCCCGCACCACGAGGGGGTGCCTTTCAAAGGGCCCCCCTCGGAACACCGCCCCGTGCGCATTTTATTGCACACGATTCATACGTCTTGCAAGCTGCTCTTCTTTAGTTAAGAATTCACACTGGGGGGCGCCTGGGGGGCTCAGTCAGTTGAGCGTCCGACTTCGGCTCAGCTCACGATCTCGCGGCTCGTGGGTTCGAGCCCCCGCGTCGGACCCCGCGCTGGCAGCTCGGAGCCTGGAGCCTGCTTGGGATTCTGGGTCTCCCTCTCTCTCTGCCCCTCCCCCGCTCACACTGTGTCTTTGTCTCTCTCAAAAATAAATACACGTTAAAAAAAAAAACAACTTAAGAATTCACATTCGGTCCTGAGTCAGCCATTCCGGGGTCACCGGCGGGCCCTTCCGCGACCCTCGGTTCCCACCCAGTGTCTCCACCTGTGTCAGCCCGGGCTGCCTGCCCTGGAAAGGAGCCCCGACCGGGCTCTCTGTGCCCCCACCTACCATGGAGTACAGAAGCCGCATGTGATTCAGCAGCCTGGGGTCCACCTCCTCCAGTTCCTTGAAGGCCATTTTCACCAGGACGGTCACGTCGTACCAGAAGGTCACCGGGTCCCTCTCTGGAGCTGCGTGAGGGCACACGCCGGTGAGCCGCAGGCCTGGGGGCAGGCCGGGGCCAACGGAGCCCCAGAGAAAGAAATCTGCTGCCAGGGACGGTGTGGGACGCTTTCCCCACCTGCTGAGCTCACTTCTCTTACGTTGTAATATACGTAATCCTACGTACACCATGGAGATTATTATTACACACAACGTGTGCTAGGTATGCTGTATGTAGTATGTGTAATATTTACGCTCATGTACGCAGTGTAACAGCATAATCCACACACACTGATACTATTTTATACTATGTATACCTGTTACCACATAACCACACGAAGACAGTACATATTCTACTGATACTATGACATACGTTACATATGACACGTACGTATTATTTATATATGTTTCCCTAGTTCTGAACCTTGACCAGCCCGTTCCCCTGGGGGCAGCCTACGGTCGAGAGCAGAGCTTTCCAGATCCGACAGGTGCGTGCTGAGGGCCAGGCCACACACCCGCGAAACCAGTGCTCCGACAGCGTCCTGGGTCCCTGGGGTGCCACCTGCCACCCTGGGTCCCTGGGTCCCTGGGAGCCACCTGCCACCAGCCTTACGCCTCTGCACCGTGACGCAGCCCAGCTGCCGGCGAGTACCGTCCCGAGCCCCCGGGCTGCCTCGGGCACACTCGGGAGATCGGGGTCACTGCTCTTGCGGGAATATCCCCCCTCCCCGGGGCGCCTGTGAGCTCTCCCCGCCTGAGACTTCAGCGGCCGGATTTGGACAAAGACACTGCCGAGGAGCAGAACGTGTCCCGTGCACAGGGCTGCGGGCTCCCTGTAAGACCGGAGCTGCGGCTGCTAGAAACCCACGCTGCTCCAACCTCACCCAGACCAGAGCTTCGACCCTACCTCGGGGAGCGGGAGCCACACAGTGGTGGCCCCGGGGGGAGACGCAGCACTTCTGAAGCCCGGGGCAGTCTGTGTCCAGCGTGCACGGCGAGGCGGGTGCTTCTGGCCCCACCGCGGGGCAGATCCCGGGTCTCGAGGCAAACTCCCTGGACCGATTCAGGGCTGGAGGGAAAGTGATCAGCCATCAGTGATGTTGGCAGCGGGCACGGCGTCCGGGCACCCCGGGCACCGGATTCGACCTGCGGTTCCCGGAGATGCACAGCGTGACCCACTCGAGGGCCATGTCCTGGACTGGGCATCGCCTCACCACATCCTGCAGAGCCACCACCGAGGGCCGCTCGCTCTGACTTTAACATAGTCTAACCATCTTTCCCGGAAGGAGGACACTGTCCACTGGCACCCTGGGGGTCTCCTTTCTAGGCCAAGTGCAGGGGCTGCACCACCCCCCTAGAGGCCCCCTTGCTGCTCTGTGTCCCAGCGGCTCACGCACGCACTCACTCACTCAACATTTACTGAGCAACTGCTATGTGCCGGGCATGTGCTAGGTGCCCAGGATCCAGCAGTGGGCCGGAGGCCAAGTCCCCACCTTCAGGACACTGGGATTCCAGGGGGCGGACATAGACGCACATAGACCTGTGGAAACTCGGCCCAGGAGTAGAGGAGACACGCTGGGCCTTTGAAGACTGAGACGTGGTGAAACTCCTGGAGAATCTGAGTCAAGGTGCTGGTGCTCAGGATGATAGAAAACTCAAGAGCAGCGCGGAGAACCTGACCCCAGTGGAGAGCCAGGGCGCTGCCCTCAAGGGAGGCGCGGTGCTGGGGACACTCCTGTGGCAGGACCCGCCACAGCTCACGGGGCCGCACACCAGAGGTGCAGCTGGGGACCAAGGAGGCTGGGGGCGGCAGGGAGGGGCACAAGGAAAGTGCGACCCCGGTGCAGGTGTCCGAGGAGAGGCCCGTGTGATCACAGCCTTCCTGTCTCCCACCCTGGGGATGAGGGCTCCAGCCACCTTGCTGTCACACAGGCCCGCCCGGCTCTGCCCAGATTCATCTAAGGCCCTGCACCCCGCCGGGCCTTTGGAAGTGCAGCTCTGGGCCCTCTGGGCTCCAGGGAGAGCAGAGAAGGCCAGCGGGTAACCAGGCTCTGCAAAGGGGAAGGTTAGCCCCTGGGAGACGCGTGGGGTCCCACGTGGAAGGGAAGCCGGAGGGGCTGCAGTCCCAGGGACAGCCCTCGGGACTCCCCCGCGGTCTCCGCAGGATGCTCCACGGACAGAAGGGAGGTGGCGGCCCCTCCTTGCGTGGGAGCCCATCACCCGGGGCGGCTGTGCCGGCCAAGGAGGGGAAGAGAAAGCCAAAACTGCCCAGAGGAGAGTCTGTGTTTGCTCTTCTCACGGAGCGAGGCCGCCGCCTGCTGCCGGACCCACGCTGCTGAGCAAGGGCTCGAAGTTCGCTCTCAACACCATTTTCCTTTTCACACTGTCCCTGGCTCCCTCGCCGCTTCCCAGGCTCCGGGTGGCTGTTCTGATGTCTAAAGTCCTGGAGGCACTGCAGCGCCGGGTCTGGCTTTGGGGGCATGGAGGGTGGGCCTGTGGCACAGCCTGAGGTCCTCGCTGGGGTGGGAATAACAGCATCCCTGTAGCGCCACCGTTCAAGGACCTCAAGTCCATTGTTTTCTGTCCCATCGTAAAAACTAATGCTCTCAAGGCTAAGGAGACAGGAGATTAAATGTAAGATGAGCTCCCGGGACAGAAAAATGACATCAGGTTAAAAAAACAAAATCCAGGGCGCCTGGGTGGCTCAGTCGGTTGGGCATCCGACTTCGGCTCAGGTCATGATCTCGCAGCTCGAGAGTTCGAGCCCCGCGTCCGGCTCTGTGCTGACAGCTCGGAGCCCGGAGCCTGCTTCGGATTCTGTGTCTCCCTCTCTCTCTGCTCCTCTTCTGCTGTGCTCTCTCTGTCTCTCAAAAATAATGTAAAAAAATATATAAAAATAATTTAAATAAAGGAAAATCCGGGGTGCCTGGGTGGCTCAGTCAGTTAAGCATCCGACTTCGGCTCAGGTTACGATCTCACGGTTTGTGGGTTCGAGCCCCAGCGTCGGGTTCTGTGTCTGGAACCTGCTTCAGACTCTGTGTCTCCCTCTCTCTCTCTCTCTGCCCCTCCCCCGCTTGTGCCCTGTCTCTGTCTCTCCCTCGTTAAAAAATTTTTTTAAAAAAGAGCAAAATCCAAAGACAGGGTGACGTTGAATTAACAGCGATGCTCGGTGTCGGTTCCCGCGTTGGGACAAATGCACCATGGTAACGAAAGACGCTACCATCAGGGGAGCTGGGGCGGCTGTGTGGGTTGTGTCTACTCTTTTGCCACTCTCTCTGTAAATCTGCAGCTACCCTAAACTAAGAGGTTTATTATTTACATGGAAAGAAGACAGGGGCCACCAGGAAAAACCGGCTCCCCAAAATGGCTGCCTGATCGCAACAGAAGTGATTTCAAGTTGAAGTCCATCTTAAATGGGCTGCCGCTGCCCCCCACCCCACCCCCCGTCCTCAGAGCTGGATGGCTTGCCGAGAGCCCAAGAGAACACTCAACAATTCCAACTTGGGGGAAAGTCAAAAATCTGTTTCTCCTTCCACTAACTCAACACAAACAATGAAACAGGACTGTCCAGTGCCTGGCAACCCGGGGTTAGTTACAGTTCAACGAGCCAGCCCGGAGCTTTCCGTCTGGGCAGCGGCACTGAAGCTCTCCCCAGGGCTCGGAATCCGATAGGCTCTGGAATAAGCGTCCCGCCCGGCCTCCTTCCTCGGAGACCTCCTTCCCCAAAGGGGTCCCGGTCGTCAGCCTGGGGAGGCTCCCGGCCCCCTGGGGTCCTGGGCTTTCCCGTGAGCCTGCGGGAACCGGGGCCGTCTCTGCAGTTGGCGAGCATCGGTGGAGACGCTCCCAGGAATTCATCATGAGTGAGTCACGCATCGGTCCACAGCACTGTTTGTAGCATATGATACTCATCACGGCGTTCTTTATAATAAAGAGCTGGAAACAACGAGACGTGGAGTGGCAGGGGCTTGCTTAGTAACTGCTGATACATCCATCCATATGAGGCAATGCCATGTGGCCATTAAGTCATGCTGCAGCATAATATTTATTGACAGGACAGATGTTCCAGATACATTGCTAAGCGGGAAGAGCACAGTACGAAAAGTCTCGGCCAGGGTGACCATGCTTTTCTAGAACGTCTGCCCCGAATGAAGACTCCAAGAGAATACTGACGGTGGTCATTTGTGGGCAGTGGGCTAATGCTAATTTCTCTTTGTTCTTTTCTGTTTCCAGATTTTCTGCGCGGCTCGTGTGTTCACTGTCGTAATTGTGTTAACAATTGCATTGAAGTAAAATCACATGGGACTTACCGTTGCCTCCCTGGTGCTGGACTTAAAAGAATAACAGGAAAAGTCGTGTAGACTGAAGGGAACATCGCCCGTGTACTCTACCTGCCTTGCCTTTCTAGACGGTCGGGTGCTGGGTGGGAGGGGACAGAAGCAGGCAGGTCTGAGGTTTCGCCGCGGCCTGGGGGTAGGACTCCCAGCCCTTTGCGAAGATACAAGTCAGCCCGCACTCGGAGGGAAGTACCTTCTGCCCGCGTGTCCTCCCCAAGTCCCCAGGCTGCCCTCCCCCCCACGCCCCCCGGCTAACACAGGCACTGGCCCTGCCTTGTTCTGTGCAAATAACCAGCGGGGCTCCCGGGTCACTTAGAGAGACTTGTTCTGAAGAACCAGCCCGTCACCAGGCACCTCCGGACCAACTTTGATCCAAGGAGCCGAGCAAGCGTGGAGAAGGTCACGGTGCTCGCACAGCCAGCTGCGGGGTGGCACCAGGCCCTGGCACCACACAGGGGCCTTCCTGGGGAAGAGGCCCGAGCTCAGCGTCCGCCCCCCACCCCGACCTGCACCTGCCATATTGACCCCCCCACCACCACCACCACGGCCCCTTCCTCCAATCTAACGGCGGGGTGGGGAGCCCAAAGCCCAAGTCCATGCCACCTCGGTCAAGTCACCTGCCTCCCCCGTCTGTGGCTCCTTCTGCATAAAGGCAATGCTCCTGGCCATTGGTGACCAGGAATCTGCCCGGCTGGCCTGTCACAAAGGACACACTCACTGGCTCCTGACGGCCTCCTCTCTACACTGCTGCTGGAATGATGCCTCGAAGGCCCAGGGGGACCCCAACCGCACTCAGTCACCTCTGAGGGGCCTCCAGTCCTCCAGGGGAATTGTGGAGGCCTATAGAGCCTGGCCGGGCTAAGATTTAAGGCAGGAATGTTTGTAGCCCGGGAGGCGGCTGGCTGGCTGAGAAGCAGCAAAGCAGACCAGGAAAACGGGTCTCCTTTGAAAGGTCAAGGCTGGGGCGCCTGGGTGGCGCAGTCGGTTAAGCGT